ATCGTTATTTTGTTTCATTGTTCACGATTTTCGTATTTATCTTGCTTTGTTTAAAATTGTTATTGCTTTGTACCTTTTGAGATTGTTTTTATATTTGTCCCTGTACGCTTTGAGCGAAATGTGATGGAAGCTAAAGAAGTATGTAAGGAGTAGGTGGCGCTCTGTAGTTTCTGTATACCATCAGATGTATGAATGTGATGGAAGCTAAAGAAGTATGTAAGGAGCGTAGTAGGTGGCGCTCTGTAGTTTCTGTATACCATCAGATGTATGAATGTTATGGAAGCTAAAGAAGTATGTAAGGAGTTAGGAGCGTAGTAGGTGGCGCTCTGTAGTTTCTGTATACCGTCAGATGTATGAATGTGATGGAAGCTAAAGAAGTATGTAAGGAGCGTAGTAGGTGGCGCTCTGTAGTTTCTGTATACCATCAAATGTATGAATGTGATGGAAGCTAAAAAAATATGTAAGGAGCGTAGTAGGTGGCGCTCTGTAGTTTCTGCATATTATGGGACAAAAGTATAAGTGCCCAGTTGAGCTTTTCCCTTCTAAACTAAACACGACTAACATAAGTACATTAAAACACAAAATTCTGATCACCAAATCACCAAAAAATTACTAAATCGAATTCGACACCGCTCAGTAGCTAACTCAAAACGAGGCGAGGCGAGCATAGACCAAAATGACATTCCGAAATCAGCGGGAATCGGAAACTTAAGTCAAATATACGATCCATATGCATAGACGGGCGGCAGCAGATCAAGGTATACTAATTTATCAAAAAACTCTATTACAATATCAACCTTAACTTTAAATCATAAGGTTGTGAATCCAATGAAGAGGTTGAATGTAAAGTATACCATGTCGTGCGGTCGTCCTTACCACGCTAAACAAGCTTTTTTGTGGGCAAGCGACCAGCGGTGGTCATTTTTTTGGTCTCTTTTTACGGCCGGCCGGAATTAGGGATCCCCCTATTATAGTTAGTTTGGTTTAATATAATTTGTTACACCTTGTTTAAGGTTTTTTGTTGAGTTAGGAAGTCGCGTTTTTTAATTATTGTGGTTGGAGTCTGTATTTTGGGAATTGGTGTTTCGAGATACTGTTGGGGTAGGTTTGAGTGACGTGTTTTTAGACATGTAAAAGTTTTTAAATACATTGCCCCACGCTAGGATTTTCTCCTGTGTCGTGTGTGCGTTTACAAACATACAAGTTCACATACACATGACTCCCAGACCCGGAACAACAGTCTGTGGATCACACAAAGCGTTGCTCCGTGCTGAAACGAACCCACGACACGTTTTCAGCCACCGCGCCAATTGTGCAGTCAAATATCAGTCAATGTTAATTAAGTTAGTTAAAAATATTTATATATTCCTTATAACTATTCGGTATTACAATTACTAACAATAGCGACCCGCTCCGGCTTCGCACAGGTGCAATATGCATGTATTATACATATAAACCTTCCTTAAGAAACACTCTATCTATAAAAAAAATATCGTATCAAAATCCGTTGCGTAGTTTTAAAGATCTAAGCATACATAGGGACAGACAGACGGCGGATAGCGACTTTGTTTTATACTATGTAGTGATAACTACTGTAAAATCTACACTTGACCTATATTCGCAATAAATGATTTGAATTTGAATCTGACCTAATAGAATTCACATCATCACCATCATATCAGCCACTAGACATCCACTGCTGAACATAGACCTCCGTAATGACTTCCGAATCACATAAAATAATTTCACACTAACTTTTTGCTTAAGTTACCTACTTATAAAGGTCCATATACTAGAGAGAAAGAGAACATATGCTCCAAAACAGCATGCTAAAGTATAGTACACACAGTTGCCACAGTTGAATTTTTTGCCAATTAAGCATAGTGCATGCCAGGAATGGCACTCAAGTCCTGTTGCTCGGCAGTAACACTTCAACCACTCGACTAACAAGGCAGTCTACTAAATAATATTAAAAATATGTAATTAAAAATATCAATAATAACATTTTAACTATGTTTATATTAAAACTTTCCTGACACATCCTAAATTAATTACATATTATGTTTTTCCGACGTATCTACTCATGTAACTGTTTGACGAGGAACTTGACTTGGGAATCACAGTAGAGGGCGTTTTGGGTCCGTACCGCAGCAGACTCGAGTAGACAGTCACCGCGTCGCGGATCGCGGAATGCTGCTCATAAATATGAGCCTCTAGCATGGCTTGAAACTAGTCGAGATCCTCGTCAAACAGTTACATGAATAAACGAAAACATAATTATTAAAAATTTTAACTATACTGAACCCGAAAACTTAAGGACAAAATTACGCTTAACATACCCGTTCACAATTTTTTTATCCCGCCCGATTGTAAGAATTTTGTTAAACACATCGCTAGGACAACACTAAAATTTGTAAAAGAATTAAAAAAAAACAACGAAAGCTACAAAATGAACGACTTGTTGCCTTACCGATTTCGAACGAAAACATCCATTGGTTTATTACCGCTCAATTTGACATTTACTTGTTTGATATGTAACAATGACATACGTCAAATTTGATGTTTTTTAGGTCATAATGTTTTTAAAACAAAACACAACATCACGCCTTTTATCTCCGAAAGGTTAAGCAGTGGTGCAAATTACGGCACTTAATGCCACTGTACAATGTAACACCCACTTTTCACTATTTATGTTATGAACCCTCGAGACACGAGACTCGTTGCCCTTGCATTTGAGACAGTCAGTCAATCAGTCAGTAAGTCGAGTTTTTTTTAAGTTTAATGATATTTGATATTAAATACTT